GTGGCCGACAACACTTCCCCCCTGCAGGGTGACACATGCGTGACAGATGACGCAAAACACAAAACCAGAGGACACCCAACGACCACCACAACCAACTCAAACAATGGCGACCCTAACATTCTGAAGCCCGAGCAAGGACACCGACCGATTCCTATGGTGAATGGCGCCCCCTACCAAGGCTCTCAAGGCCACACTACTAGGCTAAAAGACCCAACTGCAACCAATTCTTCCTCAACCCTCAACCCCCGACCCGCCTTCTGTCTAGCCACTCTTCATTGAGTGTTTTCCACTGGTCTGCTGCTAGCCAAGCGGCTTGGCCAGCTCACCAATATGACTCTGGCAAAGCTTGATGAACATGTTAATGGTGACCAGAGCGGGCATCAGCATGTGCATTGAGACATACAGGCGGGTGTCCCGTATTGTGTTATACAGCTTCTCGTCCTCCTCACAGAACAGCGGCAGCAGCACTGGGTACTCGGCCAGTAGGGAGGCTGCCGGCTCTTGTGCACAGATCCACCTTGTCGCATCATACGACTGTAGCATCGAACAAAACACGTGCATACGGCAAACTTGTTTTTACAATGCACTTCAGCCAGTTGCCACCCGTTCCTGCAGCCTTGGCCACATCCTCGAACATGCTCACAGGCTTAGCACTGCCCGAGAAGTAGTTAAACATCCTTGATAACACTCACAATCATCTTGACGACCGGGGTGTTTTCCAGCATGGCAATGGCGAGGTCTGTGCAGTGTGCCATGCACTGGATGCTCAGCAGGAACAGCGCGGTCTGGCTGAGCCTTGCTGACACCCCATTGTGCACGCCCGTCATCACGCTTGCACCGTCAGTGCTGACCGCTACAAGCTTGTGCGCCAAATCCTCCTCCCCGAGGCCGTCCTCCACATTCAGTGTATCCAGCACCAACTGTGTGATGTTCTCAGCGTCTGGTGCACCTGTACATACACCAACTGCGGGGATGCAGGGATGGCCAATGTACTTAAAGTGGACACAAGTTCAGAAGATAGGAACTTGTGAGGAATGATGTTACAACTTGTGGAGAACAAGACAAATGCGGCAAACCCCCATTCCCGGCAGCCTATCCACCCGTTAAAACTCACATCGATCAGGAGTGGCTCCACTGTGCATCTATGACGTACATGTGCAGGTAGAGGCACGAATTCTTGTCGATGCCCACGCACTCGTCCATGCTCAGCGAAATGAATCATGTGCTCCACACAAGCTCCCGGACCTTGTCCTACCCCACTCAAGCGCCTCAGCGAGGTTCCAGGCTGAGAAGCCACTCCAGTGCGAGCTGCTCATGTGTGGGATGGACAGCGCCTCGAACACCTCCTTAGAAGCCATGAAGTCCCTGATGGGCAGCCCCTGAATAAGCTGCCAGAAGAGCTGGATGAGCTGCTGGTGCTTGGCCTTCTCTTCCTCTGTGTTGCCCGGGGTGTAGAGCTGTGGCAGGGTTGTGTTCCGCTGCTGCTGGAGTGCCAGGCGCGCCTTCTGGCTCTGTTCATGCTCCACTGACGTCTTGTGCACTTCAGACATCACGTGCTTGTCGAGGGTAGCTGCCCGGCACATGGCCAGGTAGTCGCTCTCCTTCATCAACATGCAGGGGATGCAGCAAACTTGGTCATGCACTTCTCCAGCGTCCACGTCAGCATGCACAGGCCGGGCCCAGGATACCTGGCGGCCCAGGCAGACTGCCATCTGTAGGGGTTCTCTTTCTGCTTGTCCCGCCATACACTGTCACTCTGGCCCTTGTGGATGTGCTGTGTCTGAGCCCGCTTGGCACTGCGAGCGCTCAGGTTGGGCGCCTGAAATGGATCGCCAGCCTCACCGCATTCACTGTTGTTGTTGTCGAGCTGATTGGGTGACAGCTTGCGCTTAGGCTGATCACGCCCGCCATGGAAGGCAGGGGTAATGGCGCCAGTGTCATTGGTTGCCGCTGGCAGCAACACCATTGCCGATGCATTACCGACAACAGCAGTGCCGTCCCAAACGCCTTTACCAGGAAAATTTTCAGGCTTATCTTGCTGTTTTGGTGTTTGTTCGACGTTCAAGTCGTTGCCTTTTGCATGTTTGGCTATGTGAGGACCAGTCATACATTCTGCTATGCCGCGTTGACTCACGGGCTTGACCTTCTTACGGCCCCTCATATCTATTACATGATTGATAATACTAAGTTCTGCACACTATGGAGCAATCTGGCAGGAATCTTCGTTTTTGGCTGGAGGAATGAAAATGTACGGATCAGCCTCAATTCATTCCGTTTTTCCAAAGGCCAAAATGGCCTGTTTATTTCATTTAAGGAATATATTAATTAAAAAAACTGGCCAAGCCTGGTGTGGAGGTGTCTGGGACTGACCGGTGGAGAAGGGAAAAGAAAGGGGGGGATAAAAGAAGAGATAGCAACCCCCAAGGGGGGAAGGTGGGCGGGAAACTGTCAGCTACAAGCTAAGCTCTACTGAGTGAAAGGCAGAATGTCTGTAACGAAGGAGCTGAAGCAAATTATACGCGCCATTCTAATACGGTTGTAGGGCAGTCACACTGAACCAGACTTAGAGACTCCAATCACTTCACTCCATTGTATGAAGTCAACAATTCTGTGCTCCTGTCTCCGTATTCTCAGGGCTCTGCCCACTTGAGCATGCTGACTGACCGTGCAAAGAATAGTAGAGACAGGGAGCAGGGAGACCAGCTGCCAAGGGCCCTTACACTGCAGACCAAAGAGATATCCGCTCACCAGTGAAGCCTAGGCGGCAGGAGACTTCAAGTTGGCTGCAGTGCCGCACCGTGTGTGGTGTTGTACCATAGTGTTCATGCACCAACATATAGTGTTGTACCATAGTATAGCAGAATTCGTGCAGCTTGCAGGCGGCCATGTACAAGTTATCAGCTTTCGCTGAGCCCTTTGTTGATGATGTTAGAAATGTTAAAAGGATGGCACAGAACTCCTGCAGTGTGGACCCCATCCCGCTAACGTTGGGCTGCCAGCTGCCTCGGGCCACAATTGGTTTGCCATCCAGAACTGTCCAGGCGCCCCAGCCGCCTAGGGAAGCTGCCTACTTGCAGCTGTGTTGCAAAGGATCACCCTATGGCATAAACTCATCGGTTTCTGACCATTTTAAACACTGCCGGGATCATTAACCGAACCGACCGGTTACTGATCGTTAAAGACACATTAACCGGTCAGTTGGGTTACTGGTCAGTTGGGTTACCGGTCAGTTGGGTTACTGGTCAGCTGTGTTACCGGCCAGTTGGGTTACCGGCCAGTTGGGTTACTTTTATTGTGTCGTCGACGTGTTTGTCCCCACCCTGCCTAAGGTAATCACTGAAGTACTCAGGTTTAACTTTGGTGTTCATGTAATCATCTAAGCTCCTGGACACCTGCTCCACATGATGCTTTGTTCAGTTATAAGTTAGAAAACAGACTTTCGGTGCCTTCCAATGTAAAACTTACCCCATTGTTGTCCACTATTTGTAATTCTGAAAATACAACCTTAGGCTGCATATTGCTCAGTAGAATGATGGTGTTCTCGCCTAAGGGGTGGCGAGTTCTCCCTCATATTTGAAACAAGGCTAACAAGGCGATAACATAACGCCTTTACACTGTATTCAGCATGATCCTTGTCCTTTACTGCAGTGAATAGGAGTCTCACAACTTCCCCTATCTCATTCACGACTGCAGGAGATTTCACCCTAAGTAAAACCCTAAAACCCTAAAACCCTAAAACCCTCGTATTCTTGTCCATACCTATGTATGTACTTTTGTCCGTAACCTGTAACATCCTGGATATCACGGGGCCCTGAAGAAATCCACAGATCGGTTCTTTCCCAAGAAAGACGTACAACATGATGTGATACAACATAACCATGCCGTATTTTGCGATATCTTTCCCAAATCAGTTTCCCAGGTGTTTAGTCAGCTATAAAGAGTTTTTTGTCACATATTTGTGACACAAAACTTTGTGACACTACCTTACACAGTATATCGCCTTTAAAGGCACAGGCGATATAATGCTAAGGTAGGGGAGGTCCGCAGCTTCCTAAACTAAATTAACCCCACATATACTTGCTTGCTGTATGATGTGTGGGACAGGGGGCCATACCTTCTGTAGTAGCTGGCAGCTGGAAAGGCCTCTCCACAACCACAGCTACTTATCACACGACTTCACGTGCAATTAACCGCTTGGACCCGAAATCCAACATGTGTGGATGCACGGGGTCAAACCGGTGAATTCAGGATAGTGAACTTTCACGAGATCTCGATATGTAGTAGCTGGCCACTGGAAAGGCCTCTCGAGATGCTAATTAGTTAATTAGTGCCTTGACCAAAAGATGTATTTGCAGCCTCTATTGCGGCCCTTGCCTCCCTCCTGATACAACTATATATATATCAACTACAGATACGTGCAGAGCGATTGGGGGACCGTTTTCAGCGGCCAGCTACTAATATATGCTTCGAATTCTCAAACATATATACGATCCTGAAGTCGCCAGACCAACCCCAAACGAAGCTCAAGAAGTAGATATCGGGATATAGATGACTGTCAATGCGTGTTCAAAATGTAGTTGCAGTTGTCTGGGAAGACAGCTGGGCGCATGTGAAGCCGGCACATATAACGTGGCATGAACTGCTCACTCATAGCCCGAGGATCGGCGATGGTAGGCACAGGGTGGTGTATATATGTTCATAAGGACCCGAGATGGATCCCTTCAAAGGGGGAGGAATGTAGTAGCTGGTACACAGTACGGCACACATATCAACTATAAATACGCAAGAAGTGCTTGACCAGCATCTCGGGAGGCCTTTTCCAGAGGCCAGCTACTGCAGTCCAGTATCTGCCTTCTCCCCTCAAGATCACCCATGCTCAAACGCACACAAGTTCACACCAGCATCTGCACCTCTATGCCGCAATGAAACCTCTTTATCGCTTCCTTCGTCCTCTCCTCCCGTTGTGTTCATCTTCTCCCCTCCCCATCTTCCCCCTCCAGGAGCTGACCCTCCAGCGGCTAGACGAGCTGAATGCAGACAGCCTCATAACCGTCATGTTTGCCTTCACCCAGTCCCACTATTCTCCCCACCCCCGAATACAGCACCGCATGGCGGCTGCCACGAAGGCGGACATGGCGTCCTTCACCCCCCGCCAACTAGAGCATGTGGCCTGCTCCCTGGCGGCTCTCAGTTACAGGCCCTCGGAGGGCTGGCTGGACAATTTTGCACATGCATTGCAGGTGGGACTGGAAGCTAGGTTCCATGGCCTCTAACTCTTTTACCTTGCGTTGCCTGCCCTTTCCTTCATTTCACCTTTAGTTTTTATTTTTATTTTTCTTTCGACTTAAACAGTTTGCAACTTGTGAGGGCTGCAGTTGTTTCCTTAATTTGTTTTTGTCATCCTCTTCTCGCCTCTGCATCGTATCTCTTCCTAGTGGGCTTTGATCTCTGTTGTGGTGTATGTATGTTGTTACAGGGTGGTTAAGCTTCACCAGCGGCCCCCTTTCCCGAGGCAGTCCCTGCTCTCCCCTGCGAGAGGGGCACCCTAATCCATTCACCCCATCCGATTTCAGAATGTATTCGTTGGGTTCAGCAACTAACCACCAGATCCAACCAAATATAACGGATCAACTGCGCCTCAACTTAGTTCCAAGTCAATTCGTAAGTTGATAATATTACGTCCTACACTAGATGGGAGGTCACCTCCTATTTCAACATCTCTCAAACACCCGAGAGGTCGACAGGCAGAATTGAACCCAGATCGTCCAGGAACAGAAGCAAGGCCTTAACTTCTGTGTGTTATGTGTGCTGTTGCAGGTCAACTGGAATGCCTTCCTGCCCTCCCAGCTGGCTGTCACGCTGGTCCAAGCCGCTGCATGTGGCCTGACCCACCTCCCAGCTGCTACACTCCAGGACCAACTGCCAGCCCTGCTGAGGCAGGGAGTTGGGCCCTCCTCCACCATGGATCCAGCTACGCTTGCCAAGCTGGTCTGGAGTGCTGGATACTACCACCAGCAGGAGAAGCCACCCAGCTCACATGGGCATGGTCAGTACTGAAGCTAGCACCATTAGGGCCAGAGGGAAAGCAGGCCGCGGTGGAGGGGAAGTGGCTGGACAGCTTGGTGGCTGCCCTGCAACAGCACCTCAACCCCACCAACATAACTGTCCCCACTGCCAGCAGACAGGAAGAGGGGGAGCCGCAGGAGGGGCTACAGGAACATCAGAAGCAGGGGGCGTGGGAGGGAAACAGAATAGCAAAAGGGGTGTGGGAGGCTGATGTGGCTGGCTGCAGCAGGGCAGGGTATGGAGAGGTGCAGGAAGGGGCAGGGGCTGGTGGTGGCGGTGGTGGGGGTTCCATGCTGGTTGGCCATCCCTCTTCACGTCAGCTACATCCCGCGGACGTGGCACTGGTGCTGAGCAGCTTGGCAGGCCTGGGGCGGCAGCTGCTGCCAGAGGCGGCTCGTGGGGAGTTTCAGAGGTACTGGCTGAGTGGCAGTGGGGCCCGCTGGGCAGCATTGGCCAGGGAGGAGCGCCTGGTCATGTCACTGCTGGGTTACGGACCTACAGACTGAACCAGGTCTGGGCTGGGCTGGGCAGGGCTGGGCTTTGGGGTGGTCGGAATCTTGGTTCAGCAACTAGGGCCCATAGGCCCCCCAGGCAATTACAATGTGCTTCCATGAGGCCGACGTCAGGACCATTGCTTGTGGTGCTACTGGTGGCTGGATCTGGTGGATTCGATGGATCTGCATGAAAGGCTTTTGGTGTTTTTTGGGGGTATGAGGCACTCGTGGCTGCCAGTTGGGCGTGTAGCCTACCCTTGGACAAGTCGGGTGTCGGCTTCCTCGAAGCCGGAAAAAGGGCGGGCCCCCCCCCTGCATCGGTACAGGCCGGTAGCTAGCGCAGCACGTGTGACAATTGATGGGTAGTGTCAACGCGGTGGGAGATGTGCTGTATTGCAGCAGTGATGATGGTGTGGGAGCTAAGCTTGCACCGGCGGAATCGTCAGCACCGCCTGCGGGCTCCATGCGAATCGCATCCATCCCGGGTGCATGCGGCATGGACAGTGCGGCAGACCGCAAGTCGGAATGCCCGTGCGGGCAAATGGTAACGAAAGCTAGGTGAATTACGGTGCTGTCTGTGATGTTTATCCCCGAAGCGCCAGCGGCCTCAGCAATCCGCCCCACAGCCGCGAGCTTCATCGGGGCACACCGCAAGTCTCCGGAGGCCCCGAGCATTGGCCAAAGTAAATGTACAAACAAGCAGCTTGTGTATTTCATAGAGAAATGAAGCAAATTATGTTGGCCTGCTGGTGGCAAGTCGGATTGCCCATGCCGGCAAATGGTAACACAAGCTGGGTGTTCGAGTTATCATACGCCGTCATCTCAGAATTCCATTGTGAGATACGCGGCAGCTTTCGGGATGAAATTTAGCGCGAGAGGCGTTGATGTGACTTTTGAGGTCGGTGAATGGAGGCAGCTAAACTTGTTTGTGCTCATACGGTCTTTCTTAGCTACATGCGAGATACCTTGCAATAGAGAATGCTGTATAGTACCGATAACGCGTTTCAGCCGGGTGAAATATTATGTTTGGTCCGTTACACACTCAAGGCCTGGGAGTTCGAGTTATCATACGCCGTCATCTAAGAATTCAAATATGAGATACGCGGTACCTTTTGAGATGAAATTTAGCGCGAGAGACGTTGATGTGACTTTGGCCTCGGTCAATTGAGGCAGCCAAACTTGTTTGCGCTCTTACAATTTTTGTTGGCTACATGCGAGATACCTTGCAATAGAGAATGCTGTACAGTACCTATAACGCGTTTCAGCCAGGCGAGATGTTATGTTTGGTCCGTTACAGACACACACACACACACACACACACACACACACGGACATGGGCAATCCTACAGGTCGGGGCCCCCCTGGGCGCTTCGCGCTGGGGCCCCGCCCAAAAATAGTGGGGAATCCGCTGTTTCTGCTGCCAGAAGACAGGCTATGTAGAGAGGAGTCCGGATGCAGGTACTGTCTGCAAATCATTGTGGGGGCAATGATCATTGTGCCATGCCGGCAGCTGCAACTCTGCCTCCTTTCAAGGGTAAGAGTAGTGCATCACCAGGAGTCCGCCAGGGTAGAGATGTAGAGTGACCCTGAAAGGTCCACTGTAACCAATCCTTTGCCTGCGACCACATATCACGTGTCATCAGGTTAGGAGGCTGAACATCGCTTGATCTCTTCCCCTCCCTGCATCCAACCCCACAGTCAATGCCTCCCAACACTTCACCCTCCCCATAACCCTCTTGCCGCCTGCCTCTTGTCTGCTCCCACCAACTTGATCATTGCCCTCACTGTGGCCCACCTACCCTCAGGGTGGTTGCCTGCCTCCCCCCGCTTGGGGCCTCCTCCCTTCCCCTGCCTGCCCTTTCCTCTTTACCTCAGCCAATCGTGTAACTACTGCGCTGATCTTGACTTCAGTGTTATTACTTCCCTGGTCTTCTTCTCGCCCCCCTTTGTGTTCCTTCTGCCTGGTCTACCCCTACATGACCCCTAGCTGATCTGTACAACGTACCCGCATTATCCTGCATACTACTACTATCTTTTACTCTTAACTTCCGGCTTAGGACCTGTGTGCATGAAGACTCTGTTGAGGAAACGGTCCTCTCCCAACTCGTGTGGTTGTCGACCAGGGGATTTGACCCCGGGTCTGCGCCTGACTAATGGGGAAGACTTACCCCAGAACCTTATGGGGCTACCGATGCATATCCGGTAGCTAAGTGATAGACATTAGGGCACCGTCTGGACGGCGCAGTGAGATCGCGGAATGTACGTGCAGTTAGATCGCGGAATGTACGAGTTTTCCGCTGCGCCGGTATTTAGGGCGGTGACTGCGCCTATTAGTTTATCTCACAACGATCGGTATTCCTACCAGGAATCTCCTCAAGTCCTGCCGAACGCTAATAATACTCTTTACATTACTTGTAACAGTTTATCGTGCTAAATATCTTCGCCACCGGCAATCCTTCCGGAATAACAATCAGCGTTAGCCGTCACCGTCGCCAATTCTCCAATAGGTTATGAGCCCCGTTTAGCGCCGACAGTTATCGCCCAATTGTTATTTCTATCCCTCATCAACAATGGTTAAGGACAAGCTTGATGAGTCGCTGGATCTCAACAACTACTCTACCTGGCAAATTCGATTTAGCGCGATGTGCATGGAGCTTGGGCTTGAGCAATCCCTGCTCGCCGAGCCGTGCAACGAGGCGCAGATTCGACAGTCACGGAAGGTCATCAATCTGCTCATCAAGAACGTCAAGGATCATCATTTGCCGATGGTTACCGGTGCTGCCAACGCGAAGAAGGC